GCGCTCAACAATGCTAAAAAGTACAATTGAGGCAAACCCGGAAAGAAATATATCTGAATGTCTGGAAATGGTAATTGATAAACTTCAGAAAATCCATCAAGGACTTGTGCAAAACTACAAGGACAGTCATAGTCTGCCAGGTCAATTAATCAGCGCATGTCAAGGTGTCGAGGCATGCTCTATTGTCTTGGTACGGCCAGCAGCAACATTTGAAGGTGTAGCTTCTGACCTTCGAAGTGCAGTCGGTATGTGGATGAGATCCCACAACAATTTACCTCGAGTCTTCAACGCCATGGCTCTTGACGAGAATAGCGACAAAAGTAATCAATACTTCGTTGATAGACGGTATTCAGGAAACGGCCGTTCACGTAGTTGGAACAATAATCAAGGTGGCAATTATGTCCGTGGTAATTTTCAAGGTAATAACAACCGAAGTGAAAGACAGCAAAAGAAGTGCTTTGTTTGTGGCAAACCTAAATGTTGGTCAACCCGTCATTCTCCCAAAGAACGTAAACAACGTCGCAGCGATTGGCGTGCTTACGCTCAAGATATGGGACTTAGTGAAGACTTGGAAACATTCCTAGTTAACTACGAAGGAATTGATACCGAAGAACATACAGATGACGAATCCAACGATAAAGATTTTCATGCCTGGCTTTCAGAAACACGTGAGACCTCTGTCTCTGATAAGTTTGAGCACTTCCACACGGCGTGTGGTAATATAAATGGGTATACCATAACAAATATGCTCAATAATCAATCGGTTATGCATGCCTTAACTAGAACAGACCCCTTTGGCAAAATATCCATCGAACCAGCTCACCTTTTTCACTTCAAGAGCCGATATGATGCCGAAGAATTTCAGGGCATTATGCCCGATACCGGCGCTGCAGGTATTTCGACTGCTGGTGAGAATCAGGTAAAAGCATTGCAGCGAAAACTCCCAGGTATCAAAATCAATACAGCAGTTGCAGGCCAGCACTCTGTTCGCTTTGGTGATCATCCAGAAACCGTATCTCTCGGCACTGTTACTGTGAAAACTCCATTTGGCATGATCCACTTTGCAATAATGCCGACCAACACTCCATTTCTGCTATGCCTATCTGATATGGATCGCTACGGCGTTTACTTGAATAATATCGAGAACATTTTAGTTCATAATAACAAGAAGTACCCAATTGTACGCAAGTGGGGCCATCCTTGGCTTCTTCTTGAGGACCGTGAAAAATCAGTCGCCTGGTGTCACTTAACAGAATTAGAATTACGTCAATTGCACCGAAGATTTGGTCATCCAGCTGTTGAACGTCTATACAAGGTTTTAACATGTGCTGGATATGATAATCTGGATCGTGAATCACTCGCAAAGATCACTAAATACTGTCATCAATGCCAGATGCACGGTAGCGCTCCTGGTCGTTTCCGATTTACACTGCACGATGATATTGAATTTAACTATCGCGTTATAATTGATATCATGTATATTAATAGAAAACCAGTACTTCATGCCATTGATGAGGCCACCGCTTTCCAAGCGGCAAGATTCATGACTAATATGACAGCTAAAACTACGTGGGACACATTGCGCACTATGTGGGTAGACATGTACGTCGGACCTCCTGATGTTGTTGTCACAGATGCCGGAACTAATCTCACTGCCATGGAATTTCGTGCCAACGCTCACGCAATGGCAATCAAAGTTGAAGAAGTCCCTGTAGAGGCTCACAACTCGATCGGTAAGGTAGAACGGTATCATCATATCCTAAAACGTGCGTATGAAGTCATTTCAGCGGACTTAGAAACCACGGTGACCTCGGATCATATACTTCAGATGGCAGTTAAGGCGGTGAATGACACAGCTGGCCCTAACGGATTAGTGCCCACCCTCCTGGTCTTTGGAACCTATCCACGAATTTCAGAATTGTCACCATCGTCACCATCAATTTCGATACGTGCGAATGCCATACGTAAAGCAATGGCAGAAGTCAGAAAACTCAGAGCTACACGACAGGTTGCTGAAGGACTATCGATGCGAAACGGGCCAAACATCCTCGAAACAATACAGCTCCCGCTACAAAGTGAGGTGAAAGTTTGGCGCGAAAATATTGGCTGGACTGGACCATACATTCTCTTGGCTCGAAGCAATGATGACGTCACTTGTACTGTCGATGTCAATGGCAAGGCAACTAATTTTAGAACGGTCTCCGTGAAACCTTACTACCGCAATGAGAGCACAATAATCCCTGATCCTCTAAATATTGATGACCCAATCACTGAACCCCAGAGTCACGAGCCTGACAATGACGACTATGAGGAACCACTGCAAAAGGAAACCGAAAAACGTAAGCGTGGACGTCCAAGAGGATCGAAGAATATTCCAAAGCAAATAGCCATAGAAAATACCCCCTACACAACTTGGATGTCAGAAAAAGAGAAGCATGATGCAGCCTTGGCACTCAGGCTACGTCGAGAAGGAAAAATAACCACCCCTGGCAAGCCATTTGAAGAGTCAGATCGCCTAGAGATTGAATCTCTCATCGGGCGCGGCATCTTTCGCTTTGAAAAATTCGACCCTCAAAAACACCGTGAAATACGAATCTTCAAGTCTCGCATAGTACGCGAAATTAAAGGAAAGCTTACTGAGACCCCGTATGAAAAATCACGCCTAGTAGTCCAAGGTTACAATGATGAGGGAAAGAAAACAGTACTAACCCAAAGCCCAACTATACAGCGGGCTAGTCAACGAATTATTATGGCCCTAGCACCATCAATGATCAAACGTGGCATGCACCTTTGGCTTCGTGATATCACACAAGCATATGTGCAATCACAAACTAAACTTCAAAGAACTATTCTAGCATATCCACCCGAGCAAATTCGTGGTTACTACCCAGACAACACTATTATGGTCGTCATCAAACCACTCTACGGGATAGCAGAGGCTGGAGCTCATTGGTGGGCTACATATTTTAAGCATCACTGTGAAAAACTACACATGACAACTTCAACATATGACCCATGCTTGTTAATGACAACCAAAAGTTCTAAATATTTTGGCGTTGTCGGAATGCAAACTGATGATACATTGGGTATGACGGACGCGGCGTTTGCAAAGCAAGAGGAAGATGAACTTCATAAGGCCAACTTCAAAGCGAAAGAAAAGCAATTTCTTGATGAGAATAACCCATTGATGTTTAATGGCTGTATTCTGTCAAGGCAGCCGAACGATATCCTCTTACTAAAACAGAAGAACCAAGGTGAAAAGCTGAAACTCGTCTCGAATACTCACGAATACGTTGAACAACGCGCTCGGGGTGCATACCTTGCTACAATTTGTCAACCTGAAGCCAGCTTTGATTTATCTGCGGCAGCTCAATACAAGGAACCTCTAAAAGAAGATATTGCCAGGTTGAACAAGCGTATTAGTTGGCAGATCAAGAATGTTAGCCGCGGACTGACGTATATCCCGCTCGACATAGACTCAATGCGTCTCTTCGTTTTTGTCGACGGATCTTTCGCCAACAATAGAGATCTAAGCTCACAAATCGGCTATGTCATTGTCCTAGCTAATGAAGAAGCAGGAAACGACTCTTTCACAATTAATGGTAATATCCTACACTGGTCTTCAACAAAATGCAAAAGGGTGACAAGAAGCATTCTCGCCTCAGAAATATATGCAATGTCTAACGGTGTCGATGTCACTGTTGCTATCAATACGACGATTTGCAATATTGTGGCGCAGCTTGGTGTACCTTCAATCCCGGTTGTTGTCTGTACGGATTCCTTCTCGTTATATGAATGTCTGGTCAAGCTCGGGTCAACGAAGGAAAAGAGACTCATGATTGATATCATGGCCCTTCGCCAGGCGTACGAAAATCATGAAATTTCTGACATTCGATGGATTCACGGTGCGGATAACCCGGCTGATGCGATGACAAAATCAAACCCAAATTGTGCATTAGAAACACTAATCAACAATAACAAACTTACGATGCGAGTCCAAGGGTGGGTTAAAAGGAGTTTGGAGACTTAGAGGATATGATTTTCTTTTGGCTGCTCGGTATTGATCTGATGACTTAACCCACAAAAGAAGAGATTGCCAGTGTCGGAACGATTAATTCGGTTGAGTCTATCTTGGGTTTGGAGTTGGTGGTCCCTGCATGATGTATAACAGTTCTCTTTGTAATTCTTTTATATCGGGTAAACTATTATCCGAGGATAGATACCAACTTCGTGGCTATAGTTTAGGGGAGAGATATACATAATCAATCGAACCCAATCGAACAATTGTTCTCATTACGTACTGCAGTACTCTCATAACTTCAAGTGAACCTATTGGCTTGTAGTGTATGACCTTTGTCATACCAACATGAACAGCGTCTGTGCACCAGCCTGTATTTTCCACCCTTTCCTAATCCAGCAGCCCATCCTCCGTTCCACTGTCTCCTAACAACTCAACCGAGCCAGCACAACATTATCCTTCATGATTGCATAAGCTTCCCTCTATGAACTGTGACACTCCCGCTGCTTGTTGTTTCAGTATGTGTCCATCAAGATTGTCGGGTATCGCCTGTCTGATACGAGTCACACCATCACTTTGTATCCCGTCTGATATTCGAGACTACAACAAGAATACAAATAACTAACATCTACGGAGACCCTTTGAAGTTTACACTTTGCTTTTCTCTGACATCACTCGAAGAGCTCTCCATTTTCTTAGTTTATTTTCAAGGGTGGCTTACCTTTCAATAAAAGGGTTGTGGAGAAGAATTAGTCCTTAGATTAGGTAACAATTTCTGTTGTCAGTAAAAATAGCTACATAGAACGTAGTTGCGTGGTGTCTAGATAGAGCCGATGGACTTAAAATAGCATATCTCAAGGATCCAACATGGTGAAAATTTTGTAGCCCGTATATCTTCAATACCTCCATAAAAATTGTCTGATTTGATGATTATATAACGTTGCCTGGAAAGCTCCAGTGCTGTTATATATTTTCGGAAATATCAGTCATCATACATATCATTATCGGGAACTTGTATATCCTCTCGGGGGATATAGTCACCATTATGTCCGACACAGGGAATTCTCTTGCCCGAAGATGAAACTTGGAAGGAGAGCATTTCTTTTTTCGTATTGAATATCACCTTGATCATGAGGTCAGAATCTATTGCCAGTAAGTATTATTGGGGAATGCCATAGTTTTGGAATGATTCATTCATATTTAGATTTGATGTAGAAGGTTCCCAGAAGGTTACTTCAGCGGTTTTCATTCCTCCTGGAAATTCACTAGCACGTAACCTTTTGCCTGTAAGTCTTTCGTATTCCATTTCAATTTGTCTATATAATTCTTCCTCAATGATGTTGTCGCTTCCACACCGGTAGAATAAATAGCCAAGTACAGGCATTGACTGGCTCAACAGAGCTGCAACAGAAAAAAGAGCTGAGATTTTCATGTTGAATATACAGAGAGCGAGGATTGTTGATTATATTTGAGTATTGTAACTGTATTTATTGATAGCTTGGATCTCACGGCTTAAACAGCTTCTCTCTTGCTCACAAGAAGGAGATGTTGATTCCAGACTGGTAGCGTTAAGATTGTAATGAATAGTAGGGGATGTCACTGTAGTTAAGGAGGATATTGGGAAGATCGTGATTCTTGCCTCATTACCTGATTTTTATATGGCCCTGAAAGCAACCGACTAGTTTCAATTAGACTCTTTGTAATCTTCAATAATCATGAGAAATTGGCATGAGGTGGAAACGTAAATTGCCAAGAGACTCGAAGGAATATGGGTTCATTTGACCTAATGTAAACAAAAGGCTAATTATTTTCGACAGCTATGTTATAATATTCATGCAAGTTATCAAGTTTGCCCAAAATTTCAATGTTAAATTGATTAAGCTAATTTAGATATATAAGATTTCTGTTAGATTGTAAGAGTGTTAGTCGAAAATAATCATCCCAGCACCTTAATATGACGGAGTTATAACTGTGATCATGGTCTACTCAAGTGGTAAGGAGGTAAGGCGTTTGGAGATATTGTATACCCTGTATTGGTAGTTCCATACTAGTACGAAGACGGTCGCAGCGTTTTTACAGTGCTATGAGTGCCGTGACATATACACATTCCGTTTAACCCTATACTATATCAATTCTGCTCCGAGCACTTCTGTATCACTCGTAAACAAGAATCAATTTTAAAAAGTCTCGTTTAATTGAACTTGCGCCAAAGGATCAATACTAATGTGGGTATTCATTTAATATAAAGGTGCGCTCGTACTTAGCAGGTAAGCCCCTAACTTTGAGGAATGAGATGTAGATTTGTGTCACGTGATATTTTGATCTTAAGAGGTCAGTCATTCTGTTCTTTTGCATCAGAAAATAAATATTTATTCATGATGGGCGCAGGCCCTGCATTCAAAGAGCATGACACGGAGAAGACTAGCTTCTCCGGCGACTATATACGACGATAACTCAGTTTAACATTTTGACTACTCATGTAGTGTGTAAAGGGTTGAAGGAATTCAGAAGTTCTTGAAGTTGTTAACGCACTGGAAATGAATAATTTTTCCTTGGGGAAAGCTAAACTACTGTATTGTATCATGTCCTTTAAGTCTTCCGCGTACGCTAGTATTAATTCCCCCCTTTAGCCATATGAGAATCATCCTTTCTCCCTGGCTCTCTTCTCCTGTATCGTACTCCCCCATCTGGTACGTACCCCCTTAAAGTCCCCTTTCGTCTATCCAGGAGCGTTGCTTTGCCACTACCTTACCTTGGAGACGGAGTGGTCCAAGTGACCAGTCCCAATCCGGTCAAAGCCCGTCACATAGTGGGTGCATTCGCTGATACCACTCGAGACCTTGGTGCTAGGGACTTTCTGTCATGAATGCGCTTTTCACATTAGTAGTAAATTGTCATCCGCGTAGTGTAGCATGCAGAGCCAGGGAAATGGAAACAGGTTAGTGATAAATTAGATACCACCTATTGCTACACTCACCCGTAGATTACTCCTAAAAGAGACTAGCTACGGCGCTATCTGGAAGTATGTGGATCAGGTTAATTTTCATGTAGTAACCTGTAACATAACATAACAATAATAACACAATAAGATACCATTTGCATCCTGTAACATTTATTGCCATAATCACCCAAGTATATTCTAAGCCCCCTGAGTAGTCATAACCATTTAATTGAAGATACCAAGTGTATACAACCATATACATCACCACCCTTCAATAGGTTATCAGCTCGGTAGCCTTAAGCCTGCAAACTATTCTCACATCCACCAAAAATCTTCCCAAGTCAACCAACTTTCTTCCATCCATCAAACACCACAATCATGTCCAACAAAGAGAAAAAACCTTTCGGTTCAACCTTCACTATCTGTTGAAGTGTCAGCCTTGCGCTGTTTTATGTCACATGACTTTATCCTGTAGCGTGTACATTACTTTCTAGCGTTGTATACTAGCCATTCTCATACCTATAACTTACACATCAATTAACTTATATTACATTCTATATACGTCCTTTAAGAGATTATGAGACCAAATTGCTCATTAAGTTAAGTGTAGTTATCAGTTGTCCAAATTTTATATATACCTACTGCCACAGTGTTGCACTCAAATTTATATTTGCTGAAGAAGTTCTAGCAATAAAGTGTTATAGGCAGTTTTATCAGGTACATCGGACAGGTCGATTGACGCGTCATATACGTCAGTCTTAAGATTAAAAGAGCTTTCAGCCACCCAATACTCAATAAATTGAGAAGAATATTTTGGAGCAATGTCACAAGACGGATCCCTCTACCTATCATCAAATCTCAAGCTTACAGGCGAGGAAAACTTTTCAACATGGAAGAATAGTATCATAAACCTAGCTTTGATTCACGATTTGTCAGATCATTTTCACCCTCTAGCTCCAGAACCGCCTGCCAAAATAAATATATTCGACGAAAAACTAAAAGCAGAAGACATCGAAGAATATAAAGCGTGGGCTAAAAAGGATGCAAAGATGAAGTTGATAATAACAGGGAATATGTCGATGTCTCTGGTAAGACAAGTTGAAAATCTCGAGAGTGCCAAGTCAATGTGGAAAGCTTTGCGGAATCAGTTCGAGGGATCCGGCATAGTCCTCTACATGCAAGCTGCGGCCAAATTTTCGTCAATGAGATGCTCAGATTACACCAAGTTAGACGACTTCATACTAGCTTATAGCCAGACTATGGAAACATTGGCTCAATTTAAGATGAAAGTTCGAGATCCTGATGCTGTTATATTCTTCGTTGAAAAAGTTAAAGATGACTATCCAATGTGGGCAATGAATATGAGGACGCGCCTGAGAAGTTTAAAGGAGATTGAAGACATCAAGATATCTTTACTTGATGAGTTTATACGCGATTTGAAAGATGAATCACGGGAGAATTCTAACAGTAAACGAGCCCAAATGGTCATGTATCAACAACCCCGCAGTCAAGAACATCCAAACCCTAACCAAAAAAATAAAGAAAAAGCCAAGCCCAAGATATACAATTGTAAGACTTGCGGAAATCTGAAGGCGAAACACCCTCAGGACAAATGTTTTGAAAATCCTAAGAATAAAGAGGCTAAACTGGCTTGGGAAAGAAAACACAACAAGCCTTGGAAGCCTTACAAAAGTTCAAGCTCCAATCAAAACTTCAATGAGGCTAGGACATCGTTCTTCGACGAAAGCTGCGTCGTTTTGACCGACTTAAACCCTGTGGTCATGGCTAATAATTCACGGGCTGCCAGGTCAGAGTTTTGGATATACAATACAGGAGCTAGCTGCCATATAACAAACTCTCTTGACAAGTTTGACAAAGGCACCTATACAAGCATCGATGATCTATGTCTCATTAACACTGCAAGTGGACCCATTTGTCCCCGAGGCAAGGGTACTGTCACTCTACAGTGTGTAAATTCTAGCGGAGCTATATGCCCATTTAGGTTAAAAGACGTTAGTTACTTGCCAGAATGTCCAATCAATCTCTTTAGTGGCGTTCGACTTTATAAAGCTGGAGGTTATGCCCAAAAGCACTTACTATTCAGCCCTCGTGGATTAGAATTTGCTGAGTTCGATGATTCGATGGTGATAAAGGAATACGTGTCCATGAATGCCTTTCCGGTTTTGGAACATCAACCTAGACTAACTCTCGATCTCTGGCATCGTCGCTTGGGACACTTGGGCGTCAGAAATGTGAAGGCTACCAAACAAATTACCACTGGTATTGAGTATGACGCAACACCCGCAGAACCAAGCTCAAATTTGTGTGAGGCCTGTGAAATTTCGAATCCACTTCGGCATGTACGTAAAACTGTCAGCCCTAAAGATTACAAACCCTTTGACTCTGTTTCTGTAGACATTGTCATGATAAATCCAAGAGGGAAAATTCTCCTAAATGATTCTTGGATCAATGTTAGATACTGTACAGTTTTTACGGATGCCGCTTCTTCAGCACGCTGGGGCCATTATCATGACCACAAAAATGGCTCATTTGAAGCTGTCGAAAATTTTAACGCAATGGTTTCAACTCAGTTCGGAATGGTAGTTAAATCATGGAGGTTAGAAGGTGGAAAGGAGTTTTTGCCATCTCGTATGGGAACTATGGCCTCAAAGTTAGGTCAAATTGTTGAAATGACTACCCCATACTCTCCGGAACAAGATGGACGAGCGGAGCGTTCAATCGGCATAATTGTTTCACGAGTACGAACTGTCTCTATAGACCAAAACATCCCGAAGTTCTTGTGGCCAGAATTAATGCAAACTCAAATAATGATCGCTAATAGAAGCGCGACGTCAGCTCTTTGCGGAGAAACACCATTCCAATTTTTGAACAGGGTCTGTCTCAAAAAAAATGATGTTCCGGACCTCAGCCATCTCCGTGTACTTGAGTGTAAAACTTATGTTCAAATCCTAGTAGAGAGACGAGTTATATCAAGGAAGCTTGACGATCGAGCCGAAATAGGCATGTTAGTTGGTTCTGAAGGGCAACATATTTTTCGGGTTTATATTCCCAGTCACTGGAAGGTTATTCGATCTTCGAATGTACGTGTCGATGAAAAATGCTCCGTTAACATACCCCAACAACAAGATGAATATTGGGAATCATCCGATCAATCTCAGCCAAGCCTTACATTTCCGCTTGATGGAAGTAGGAAGGTAAACCAAGGAACTTCCAAATATTCTCAATGTCAGGAAACTCAAATTGATACCAAATTGCCTGAGTTGACTCCATTTGAAAAGCTGGGATATGAAAAACATCAAACTCTCAACAATGAAGTGGATCAAAGTGAAACTGAAAAGAATAAGGAGGTTGGAGGACTTGAGGAAACAGAAGAGATTGAGGAAACAGAAGAAATTGAGGAAACCGAAGAAATTGGACATTCATCACAAGCACAGAAACCACCTGAAATACAACCAGGATCTAGGAATAGA